ACAGCAACAGCAACAACTTATAAGTAATACTATATACCCAAATTTGCCAATTCAGCACTTAACAACAACAACAACAGCAACAACTTATAAGTAATACTATATACCCAAATTTGCCAATTCTCTTCATCTCTACTATTAAAACTATGGTGTAAACTACACCACACATTTCTGTTATCACATTTCTTCTGCACTCTGGCAATAGATTTTCAACTAGTTGCCTTCTTACCTGTCTTGCTTAATAACATTCTTTTAAAATCCTAAGTCAGATAATTTACTTTCCTGTTTAAAATGGATAAGTGGCTTCCCAACTGCTGTTAGACTATATTATAAATCTTTGCTGTGGTCTAAGAGGTCATACAATCTGACTCTTACCTTTACTATGCTCCCACTTACTCACAATACTTAGGTCACTCTGGCCTTCTTATAGCGTCTCAAACATACCATAGTATTCCTGCCACAGGACCTTTGCACTTCTTTAACTTCTGCCTGCAATATTCTTTCCTCTAATCTTCTTGCTTCCCTTCTGTCATTGACTTCTCAACTCAATTTTCACCTTTCAGAGAGAATTCCCCTTATCATCCTATTGAAAATGACCCTTTACCCCGTTGCTATCAATTATACTTATAACATTGATTATTGTCTATCTGAAACCATTAGCATATTTATTCTTTTATTGTCTGACTTTTTAACTAGAAAGTGGACACAATAAAAACAGATTCTCAGTAAAGGTTGCCAGGATACTTTACTTTGTGCTCTCTTCCTATGTGCCTAGTATCCTAAGGCTCAAATTCTATGCCTCTGCTGTGCCTTGGATTGATGTCTGGTCTCCCAGAATGACCTGTGTTCAAGCAGACATTCCACTGCAAGGTTCCCCTACATCCTGCTAGGGAGAAGTTGAAGGAGACTTAAAAGTCTTCTCCAGACAACAGCTGTAAGAGGAGAACTTCTGCTTACTTAGGTATGGGATTGGGTGTCTAGCTACCTTGGATTCAGACCTGCAGGTTTAAACAGCCTCCAAATAATCTAGTAAACTCAGATGCCCCCCTGTGGTTCAGAATGGTGTGTGTTCCTTTTTCCCTTTGGGGATGGTGATTTGCACAGTGGTGGAATCTTCTATTGCCTTTCTATTCAAAGTGTGATCTGTTCATTATTAGCCTTTGAGACCTACTGTGTCAGAATCTGCATTTTAAGCAAGATCTCCAAGTGATTTGGACACACTGAAATTTGAAAAACATTTCTCTATGATACTGGAAGATGCCCTGGTGGCACAGTGATTACACGTAAACCGGAAGGTCAGCAGTTTGTACTCACCAGCCACTCAGCAGGAGAGATGACAGGCTGCTTCTGTAAGTTTACAGCAGCTTCGGAAGCCCTATGGAGCAGTACTGCTCTGTTTCACAAGGTACCACAAGGAGTGGGCATTGACTCAACCCCACTGGGTTTATGATACTGTAGAATCCCTGGGTGGGCAAAAATGGCTAACCTAGATGGTTGCTAATAGGAAAGTTGGAAATTGCTTCTCTTTCAGGGGCCTTGGAAGAAAAACCTAGTAATACGCTTTTAAAAAGCCACTGAAGGAGCCTTTACCTACATCTCCATTTAATCAGAAAAACAAAACCCAACACTTTTAAAAAACCTGAGGAGGCATTTCTACTCTGTATCCCCCTCATTTTTAATAGTTTTATTTAGCACAAATAAAACATGCAAACAAGCTTTCTATTCTTTTTCTTGGCTGCACAGCCTGGCATCGGGATTGGTGACGCTGTGGCTAGTGGATATGCTCTTTTTACAAAGACTTTGTGGTTCTTGAGGAAACACTGTGAGCAATCTCAGCACAGTAAGATTTGTTGCACATCAGCAGGACTTCCAGCTCCTTGACGTTGTGGATTAGGAAATTGCAGAAGTCACCAGGCAACACGTGCTTATTCTCTTGTTGCTCATATAACCAACGTAGGGCATCAAGATCTGGCCTATAAATATTCTCAAACCTTGTCATCAGGACCTCTGTGCTTGTGTCAGCTACACTTAATTTTGACAAAATGGACGAACTTCTTGGTCCTCTTTTTGATGATCGTTGGCTTCACCAAGGGTCTGTCGTTCTTAGGTGCTGTCAAGCCAAGTATGACTCATAGCCATCCTATGAACAACAACTCTGAATCCTGTCCTATTCTGTGCCATCCACATCAACTCTGAAATGCTTGAGTCTGTTGCTGCAGTTACCACGTCAATCTATCTCATTGGAGATCTTCCTCTCTTTCACTGGCCCTTCACCCTTGCAAGCATAATATCCCTTTCCATGAATAGCCCTTCCTAACAACAAAGTATGTGAGACAAAGCATCTTCCTCATCCTTGCCTTTAAAGAACACTTTGGCTGCACCTTTTCCAAGACATATCTCTGTTCTTTTGGCTGTTCATGGGCTGTTTCATAAGTACTCTCTTCAATGCCACAACTCTGAGGCATCAATTCTACATCTGTCATCCTCATTCATTGTCCAGCTCTCAGATGCACAGCAAGTGATTGAAAAGACCGTGGCCTGAATCAGGCACAGAACTTCAGGGGTCAGGGGCAGCATTTTGCCAGCAGGAGATGACTACCATCTCTGTAGACAGCACAGAAGGAGAGAGTACTCTGCATTTTTAAAGGCAGAGAGAACATATGTGGTTCTCTCTTGGTCTTTGGATCAACCTGTTTAGATCCAAGTGACAGGAGTGACTCCAGTCTTTTCTCCCAGAGCTCAGAACATTTACCTTTTAAAGTTGCTTTGGTAAAAGCTCATCACATCCACAGCCTGAGCAGTGCCCAGCTCTGCTGTCCTTACTGTGGCAGCTGAAGTTCTGCAATGGAAGAAATCAGCCCAGCTATGGGTCTTCATTGTGGGGTAACCCCAACAGTGTAGGTCTGGCTTTCAGTTTTCCCATTCTTCCATTCAGATTTCATATGCAAACCATCTGACTCTAAGTTTAAACATCTTCTAGGGAGCTTGGATTTTCCCAAAACAATGTATTCTTGAATGGAGCCTGGTTTGTACTTAAGGATTTGGCAGCAATAAAACTTAGGAATTAAAAAAAAAACAAAAACCACCCACAAAAACAAAAACAACAACAAAAAAACCAGAAAAAACTCCCTTTGAATTAAAGCTCAGGAGCCTTTGGCTATACTTCCTTCAGCCCCTGTGGAACTCTCTGACCTCTGGCAAGTCACAGACAGGTGGCTTGAATTCTTGCACAATACCCAGGCCTGCATTCTTCAAGGGATAGCAGACAGGTGAACATGTCTCCTTGGAAGCTTTGGCAACTGTGACACATCTTTGTTTTGATGACCCTGACGTGGCTTGTGTGTGTGTGTGTTTGTTTTTAATGTGGTAAAGGAACTGCTATTGTAATTAAGACTAATAAGCTACAGGTGAAGCTCAAGCAGCTTCCTCATGCCTGTTAAGACTGGAAAGGTGGTGAACTGGGATGAATAGGAAACTCTGGTGGTGAAGTCTGTAGGGAGTTGCACTGCTGACCCTCAGGTATGTGTCTGAGGGTTCGAATCCACCAGCTGTGGGAGAAAAATGGGCATTTTGTGTGATTTATAGCCCCTGAAAACCCGATGGCAGGTCAGCCATGAGTCAGTTCCAATTTAAGGAAATGAGTTTGTATTTTGAGAATAACCCCTGCTTTTGAGCTTGGCATGTTTTAGTGTGGAATGATAGGTTTCTAGACTTTTCAAAGGAGTCTTGTAAGGATGTATTAATAACTAGTGTACCCCACATAGGGAAACCATTACATTCAGGTATGTGAACGAATGTGGTACCTTGGTTTTGGTGCCCGTGTTTCTTGTCTCATATGTCACTGTGTGCAGTTCCTTGAGTATAGTTCAGCTTCTAGGTTTTTCATGTTTTGTTTTTGTTACTTAATGAATTTATTTTATTGTCATTTTAGTGAAACTTGGCAAGTCATATTAATTTTTCAAGGCAATCATTCATACATATTTTATTTTGCAGTATTAACTACAATATCCACAGTCTATAGTACCTTTCCCTTCACCCGGCTTGCTAAGTGTTCATTATCTATTTACTAATTTTTACATTTTCCCTCTCATGTCAACCATTGCAAAATGATTTTGTGTGTAAACCTTTCTTTAGCTTATTATAATGGTCTTATTCAGTATTTAACTTTCTATGACTGATGATTTCCCTCAGCATGTTTTCTGGTATTTATCTATGTTATGTAGTGTTTCAAGTGGATTTCTTAAAAATTGTGTTAAATATATAGGTAACAAAACCATTTAGCCTTTTAGCAATCTTCACATGTATAGTGATTGACATTAAATATGCTCATCATATGCAGCCACCTGCCATCTGTATGTAAACCTTTCCTGAATTCTCCCATTACCCTTGATCACTATCCCCTAGGCTCCTGCGTCATCTTTCTCTGCCCTCTGCCACCTACCTATCCTTGGTAGCCACTTGATTCAGCTTTTTTGAGTTGAGAGTCATGAGTTCTTGGTTTTGACCTTCTGTCTCCCACCTTTGTGAGCCTTAGTATCCTCTTTCTTAGAGCAGATGGTGTCTCAGGTCTCTTCTAGCTCTTTCATACTTGAACTTAAGCCTGAGGACAACTTCAGCTTTATTATCTAATTTGGTTTCTGGATCTCTGCTCCTGTGGGTCAGTCATTCATTGTTGGTGATGCCCTTGCCAATGTCTATGCCTGTGTTGTTTTTATTTATTCATTAAAGTGCTAGAATGTGACATTTTGGAAATGACCTCTTACTGAGAATGCAGGAAGCTACACAGTGAAATTCACTCATCAAAAACACACACGCGCATACACACATACACGCAAAACCACAGGCTTATCAGCCTGTCGTCATCAAGCAGACTAGAATAGTGCAGAGAACTCAAGGCAGAGAGGAAATGAACTTGAGAGAAGGAGGAACACATAGTGCAGAGAGAAGGAGGGCAGGGACAGAGAGCAAGAGCTGACGTTCAGGGCCACCGAGATGGTCAGAAGATGGACGAAGCTGCAGTGAAGCAGGGCTTCCTGTACCTCCACCAGCAGCAGACTTTCGGAAAGGTAGGAGTGGGGCTGGACTGGGGCTGGGCCAAGAGGCTGCTTGAGATTACCGAGGAGAAGGAGGAGTTCGCTGAAGGTTCATGAACCATCATGGTACAGAAGGGACAGCCATCCTCCAAGTTAGACCCAGAACTCAAATTTGAAAGAGCTCATTACAGGCCCTCAGATGTATACTCTTCCTTGACGGTTGTTTACCCCCTGGGGGAAGGAAGACTGACTCAGCCTGTCACCTCTTCATTTGCTGGTACTTTCTCATGAAGACAATTTAGAAGGAGCTAGAAGGAACAGCTGGGGAGACAACTGTGGGTTATGGAGGTGGTTTTCCCTCTTTTCAAGGTCACTTGGGCTGGGTCTCTGGGGGCCAGCTCCTGAATGTGCCCAGCCTCTTCCTCCTTCCCTAGCCTCTTGCATGAGGAAGTCCTTTTTCCCTCAGCTGCCTCACACTGGGACTCCTCTCTCTCAATGCCCTAGCTCTCAAGAGATGAGGAAGAAAAGTTTAGAGAGGTGAGAGAGAGAAGCTCCTGGAGGTAGAGGCCTTAGACAAAACTTCATATAGAGCAAGGATGGTGGTCTCAAGTCTGAGCCTTCAAGTCCGCTGGGCTTCGGAGAACTTAAAAGCTCTGGAAACTTTCTTTCTTGGAGCTGGAGGCTGCTTGGCCTTCTTTCAGTCTGCAGATGCAGGCTAGTGGCTAGTTACTGTGCTGCTTCCTCCCTCAGCTGACTCTGCTTGTCACTGGAGGCCTCTTGGGTTGATCCTGGTTACTTGTGGCTGACTCTGCTGTCTGTTGTTTCTCTGCCTCCTGGGCCTCCTAGGAGCTTTATGACCTCACCCCCACCTCCACGTCCACATGTCCACCCCAGTCCCTCTCCCACAGTTACTCCTCTCTGCTTTGACTGTGATCTCTGATGTTTTCATCTCTTTGTGATTGTCTCTTTTTCACCTCGCTGCCCACACACCTGTGGCCAGAAATGGAAGCGGTTCTGGGCTGTGCTGTATAGAGAATCCGGGTGCACCTTGGCCCGGCTGGAGCTGCAAGAGTGCCCGGAGAAGCAGCGCCGTGGAGAGGCGGCGAAGCGGATTATCCGCCTCAGTGACTGCTTACGGGTGGCTGTGGCCAGTGGGGAGGCCAGCAGCCCCCGAGACACCAGCGCCTTCCTCCTGGAGACCAAGGAGCGCCAGTGGCTGCTGGCCGCCCTCACAGCAGACCAGAGTGACTGGATGGAGGCCATCTGCCTGGTGGCCTTCCCTGTGAGTAATCTGGGGGTGCAGAAAGAGCAAGAGGGAACGTAGGAGGCGAGGAGAGGTAGGTGTGCCCTGCAGGGTCAGAGGTGGAGTTTGGAGTTATAATGGTCTTGTGAGACCCAGGGTATCTTTCACAGGGGCAGAAGAAGGAGCTGTCACGGCCAGGGATGGAAGGCATGCTGGGGGATGCAAGTCGGCCCTGCATGGAGGAGAATGAACTGTATAGCAGTGCAGCCACGGGTGAGAGGGGGCTACCTCTTCTCTCCTGCATTTACCCCCAGGGTGTGGTGGCCGGTGGTGGGTGCTCTTGCTGATGGGTGCTCTTGCTGACCTCCAGCCTTCCTGCTTTGCGGTTGCCCCCAGCCCTGACCAGCTTCCTTATCAGCCTTCTCCCCCATGACTTCCGGACATAGCCCGAGGTGGGGAACCTGGCTCCCCTGAGTGTCCGCTTTCACCATTGCTTCACTCTGACTTTCTCAGGCTCTGCTGGTGGGAGAGAGGAAGACAGAGGGGGCCCCAGTGTGGGTGCGCCTCTCAAACCCTCCCTCTGGGAACGAATTGTTTTTTTTTTCTTAAAAAAAGAATATTTTCCTCTCTGATATTGTCTGTGGTTTTAAAGTGTCCTGTGGCAAGGGAGCTTCTTGCTGATGAGGCAATCCCTGCTGTTGCTGTACAGCCCTCTGGGGTGTGTGTGTGTGTGTGTGTGTGTGTGTGTGTGTGTGTGTGTAGGGGGTGGGCAGGTGGACAGAAGGAAGTGGTTCATCCATGCTTGATTTAAGCCCCACACCCCACAAGGGGCTCAGGGTGGCAGCTGCAGTGGAGTTGCTAGACTCGCAGCTGGATGGCAGGGTCGGGCCTCACCTGCAGCTGTGGCAGCCGGGGCTGGGGAGGCAGTTGGGTTAGGGCAAGAGTTGTTGTGAGGTGGTAGAGAAGACAAGCCTGTGGCTCTGGCAACAGGGGCAGGAAGGATGTGGGCACAGGGTTGGGGTGGATGTGGCTAGGCCATGATGCCCACTGGGATAGGGGGTGGAGGTATCTGGTTTGGGGGGGAGTGTATCCTTGCAGCTCTGGTCAGGCTGGAAGGTTATAGGTACATGGACAGCACTTTATCTACAGATGTTTTGGCACCTTTTAGAATGGGGCCGAGTTGAAGCAGGCCAGCTATTTCTCATTAACTACATTTTTCTCTCCCCTCTTCTGCCTAGTGGTTGCGCGGAAAAAGTTTGCTGTGACCATTAGACCCACTGAAGCCAGTGAAAGATGCCGACTCCGGGGAGTCTATACCCTGCGGGCTGGAGAGAGTGCCCTGGAGCTGTGGGGTGGCCCAGAGCCTGGCAGCCTCCTCTATGACTGGCCTTATAGGTTTCTGCGACGCTTTGGACGTGACAAGGTGAGACTAGGGCAGCAGCTGGGTGAGGTGAGAGCAGGGATGAGCTGTGAGGGTGAAGAGTGTCAGGGAGGGGCACTCCTCTGGAAGGGAAGAGAGGAGACAGGCAGGCTACAAACGAGAAACAGCCAAAGGTGATCCCGAGAGTTCCAGGAGAGAGAGAATGAGTGAAGGGGAAAAAAAGAAAAAAGTGGCAGAGAGAGGAGGGGGAAAAGGATGGAGGAAGAGCTGTATGAGAGAGGCTGTTCTTGTTAGGTTCTGGCTCTTAGTGATCCTGTCTGTGCACAGCAGACTGTAACCCTGCCTGGTCCTGCATTGTCCTCAGCCGCTCTGTGCCTCAGCCCATTACTGTAGATGCTCTGTCAATCCCTCTCATTGAAGGTCTTCCTCTCTTACATTGAGCCACTCCTTTACCAAGCATGATGTCTAAATTGGGGAGTAAAGACAGGAGAAGGAGCCCTGGTGGCGCAGTGGTGGAGCGCTCGGCTGCTAACTGAATGGTGGGTGGTTCCAACCGCTCAGCCACTTCCTCTCTGTCCACCTGCCCCCGCCTCTCTGACACTTCAGAGACCTCTCTGACCACAGAGCTTCATAACAAGATCAGGGATGACCTTGTCAGCAAGAAGCTCCCTTGCCACAAGATACCTTAACACCACAGCCACTATCAGAGAGGGAAACATCATTTTTACAAACAGTCTCTCAATTTCCAGAAAGAGAGAAGTCAAAGACAACATTCTGGTCCCACCAGCAGAGCCTGGGAAGAGCTTGGGAAGAATAGTTCCTAGTGGAGGAAATTGAAGTTCACCTTTGGGTTGGATTCAGGAAAAGCAATCCTGCTCAGTGGCTTGGCTAGTAACCTCCGTCTTGCCTTCTGCCCAGGTCACCTTTACCTTTGAGGCCGGCCGCCGCTGCTTCTCTGGAGAGGGCAACTTTGAGTTTGAGACACAGTATGGTAACGAGATCTTCCTGGCCCTGGAGGACGCCATCTCTTCTCAGAAGAACACTGCTCCTCTTGGGCCCCAAACCCAGCCAGTCACTCTCCCCACAGGGCTGTCTCAGCCAGAGAGCCCTTACTCCCGGCCCCATGACTCCCTGTCACCACCATCGCCCTCTACAAAGCAAAGATCTGGGGCACAACCTGTGGCCCCAGAGGGGGAATATGCTGTGCCCTTTGATGCAGTGGCCCGTTCCTTGGGAAAGAGCTTCAGGGCCATCCTCGCAGGCCCTCCCCAGGCTGACCCTCTATACGACAGCATCGAGGAGCACCCAGCCCCCCGACCTGACCACATATACGATGAGCCAGAGGGAGTGGCTGCCCTCTCCCTGTATGACAGCCCCCAAGAGCCCCAGGGTGAGGCATGGAGAAGGCAGGCCAAAGCTGACAGGGACCTCAGTGGCCTTCAGCACATCTTTCCATCAGGGCAGGACTTTTCTGCCTCTGACTGGCCTCAGGGAACTGAGTATGACAATATTATACTCAAGAAGGGTCCAAAGTGATGGGAGGGTGGAGTTGTGGATCACCTCAAGTATCAGCACAGAAGTTCTGTGATGTCAGGGAAGTTCTGTGCTGAGTTGGAAGGTGAGGGAATGAGTGAGGGGGAAGTAGTACAGCAGGTCGCTCCATTAACTCCTGCTCCTGTTCTTGGGGACTTCTTTTGATCACTGCATCCACAGGACTTCTCCTTCCTGCCCCCGCTGGGCTTGTCCCACCTTAGTTTGGTTTGAAGAATTGTCCCTCCCAGTGCCAGCTGAGTGAGTCATCTCAAAGCAAGAAGGGTGCCCCTGAGAGACCCACCCTCCTCCCACTCCTCTTCTACTTCCTCCTTTCCCAACCCCCAGCCTGAGCAGGACCTTAGGATGCTCAGGGCAGAGGACCAACAGATGCAGCAGGCAGCCCCTGTGCCAGGCACCCAGGAGGAGGGCTGGAGCTTTCTATAAGGTTCAGTATTCTCGTTGGAATTAAACACTTCGGAAACACTTTTGTGTGGCATGAGTGTGGTGGGGCAAGGATGGGATGGGTGTGGCCTTGCTGGGGGACGAACGTTCCCTGTTGAGCACCTCCTCTCCTGCCAGTGAGCTGCTTTCTTGGGCATCTGTCCACAGGCTCAGAGGTGCCCATGGGAAGGGTATTCAAGCTTTTCTACTCTTGCTGGAATTGGTTCAACACTAGAAAAATAATGGAGAAACAGAGCAGAGTAGTGAAAAGCTGGACTGGAAGAAAGAATTGCCATTTATCAAGGTGCTTATGGACTAGATGTTATTGTGTGCTGTTTCTGACTCATGCTAGCTGGTGGGACAGAGCAGAACTGGCAGTAAGGTTTTCTAGACTGCAGTCTTTATAGAAGCAGCTCACCAGGCCTTTCTCTCAAGGAGTGGCTGGGTGCATTTAAACCACTAACTTTTTGGTTAGCCACTGATGGCTTAACCACTGCACCACCAATGCTCCTTATGTTATAGATAGTGGCATCAATACTTTCCCATGGCTCTTGACAAATCCTTTTTGTCTGTGAAATGAAGGGCTGCACCCCTAAAATGAAGTCTTCCTTCTCAGTGTGTCTCTAGAGATTCTTGTAGTCCACATCCTCTTTTGTCTGTTTCTTCACAATCCAAGCTCTGCTCCTGGTTTGGTGATGAAAACGTGAGAGAGACACTAAGTGACCGTGCGCAGAGGTCAAAATGGAGTGCTGGCAGACAAAGACAGTCTCCTTTTAGAGGATTTTTTAGGGAGACTTGGAGGGGGTGTTAGTTTGCTCCAGAGTTTGGAGATAGGGGTCCTGTCAATGTGTGATCAGGCCCAGGGCCTCATCAGGATCTGGTCAGATTATGGACATTATCAGATTTCAATGAATGATCAGTCCTGGAGGAAACAGTGACATTCTTCTTCCAATGGGAAGGTATGCCACTAAACCACCAAGCGCAGACTGTTTAGAAAATTTAGCAAAACAGAGCATCGTTGTGTAAGTTGTCTTGGTCTCAAGCTACATATAGAGCCCATAGTGGGCGTGTAACAAGTGGGATGTTTTCAGAAATTCCATAAGCAATAAGGCTCTGGTGGCCTAGTGGCAAGAAGCTACGCTTCAAGGCCATCAGCTGCTCCACAGAGAAGGACGGGCAATCTCCTCCTGTGTGATTAACTGCCTCTGAAGACCCACTGGAGGGTCAGCTATGGGTGGTTCAGACTCAACGGTACACAACAACAACAACAGAAACAAGCAGTGTCCTGGGGCTCAGACCAAGGAAGAGTTCATATGAAAAGTGGCATTATAGGCAGACTCTTCAGGTAGGAAGACATTTGATAAAGATCTTGTTTGAAGAGAACTTCATGTGTAGAATGAGTTGAGGGAGCAGAAGAATGTGGTGGGAAGGTTTGTGTTTATGAAAGAGTTCTACTTTGGGAGTTGTTTTTATGTGCTGTGAAGGCAGAACTCCACATGGCTGACACTCCAGCAGGTTTTCAGAGGCTGTAAATAAAATGGGAGGAGATTGCCCATCTTTCTCCTCTGGGGTAACTGGTGAAGTAGATGTGGCCAATTGGAAAGGCAAATTCAGATTACCTTAAGGAGGAATTTGTAGCTAAATAGAAGGGAAGGAGAAAGAATTTGGTTTTTTTGAGTCCTGTTAAACTTTTGGCTTTTGCTCAGCAATCTGAGGTGTAATTCCTGATCTATCCCCATCCAGGGCAAGAGTGAAGAAAATCAAAGATGTGTGGAAACAATTAGACACCCTTCAAACCTGAAACTGAACTGATCTTACTGTCATGGACCAACTTTCAGACAAACAGACAGGCATATAAGGTGAATAATAACTGTAGGCAGATACATCCTTCTTAGAATAGTCAACCATATGAGATCAAAAGGGAAGCGTTAACCCAAGGATAAAGCTCAAACGGCAAGAAGGATAGGACAGAAGGATGAATGGAAACAGGAAACACAAAGAGTAAGTGGGAAGAGCGTTATTACATTGTGAGGAGTGCAATTAATGTCACGAAACAAAATGTGTCTAAATTTTTGAATGGAAAACGGATGTGCCCTGGAAAATTTTGCCCATATCAGAATAAAAATGGAAAAAAAAGAGAGTTGAACTTTAGCGCAATAACTCCAACGCTCTTGTGGAAAATGTGTTGGAGGTGGACTGGGGGAGGCAGTTGAAAGGAAAAGGGGAAATTCAGCAAAGGTTGTAAATGCCATACAGTTAGCTCTGACTCAGGGTGACTGAACATCACAACGAAACCCTGTGCCGTCCTGCACCATCTTCCTATCTCAGCTCCACTTAAGGGCATTGCTGTGTGCACAGTGCCAATCCATCTCCTTGAGAGTCTTTTTTTGTTGACATATTTTACTAAGCATGGTGTCCTTCTCCGGGGACTTGTTTATAACATGCCCAAAGTAAGTGAGATATAAACTCACCATCTTTGCTTCAAAGAAACACTCAGGCAATTCTTTTACTAAATCAGATTTTTTTTTTTTTTTGGCAGTCCAGGGTATATTCAATATTCTGCACCAATACCAGAATTCAAAAGCATCAAGTCTTCAGTCTTCCTTCAGTTATGGTCTAACCTTCACATGCAACATAAAGATAACAAAAGTCTTCACAACTGGACCAATAAGCATCACGAGAAACATTATGAAAAGACCGATGTTGTCAAGGATTCCATTTTACTTGAATCCATACCACTGCCCATGGAAGCAGCAGTCAAGAAATTGAATGATGCATTGCATTGGGTAAATCTATTGTTGTGGACTTCTTTAAAGTGCTCTAGAGACTGAGCTGTACCTGATCATGGTATTTTTAATATCCCCCCCATGCATGTGATAGTCAAACAATGAAGAAGGAAGCCTGAAGAAGAGTCAGAGTCGATGCCTTTGAATTGTGTTGCTGAAGACTCTTGAATATCCTCTAGACAGCCAAAAGAACAAACAAATGTGTCTTAGAAGTGTAGCCAGGTCGCTCTGAGGAAGCAAAGACACTGGGGATGTCCTCTTACATACAATGGGCATGCCATCAGGAGGGGCTACTCCCTGGAGAAAGACATGGTTGTTTAGAGGGTCAGGGCAAAGAGGAAGACCCCTAAAGAAGTGGAATGATCTAGTGGTTACAACAACGGGCTCCCACACTGCAGTGAAAGCGAAGAAGGTGCAGGACCCAGTGATGTTTTCTTCTGTTGTACATTGAGTCATCTCAATGGCACCCAAGACCAGATATTGAGAACAAGACGACATGTTGGAGTTAAGATTTCTGTAATATATTTAGGCAATGGTGAAAAATGAAATCTAGAATTTGGGAAGGAAATGAAATCTGAACCATCTTCTAGGAGTGTTTGTTGTCTAAATCTGTTCTCTCTCGGAAACTGTTTAAAGACGATGAGCAGGCTGGGAGAGAGTGGCTGGGAGGTTTCAAGGAGCACTGGCTCTTTCGGTATCAGAGGATGCCCCTGCCGTCACCATCTAGTCTCAGCCTCAGAATGCACTAGAGGCAAGGGGGGCTTATGCCTCTGACGGTGTTAATCTTTTCTCTTTTTGAGCCACAGATCTGGCGGAATCTCTTGGTCAAGGATCCTGCTTTCTCATTTCCATGAGGCAACGTGCGAGGTGGATGTCCTCAATCATTCCAGCAGGGGGCAATGTTGACCCGTAGAAAAGACCACTGGGGGCTTGGCTGGTGCCAGGCTTGGGGGCTTGACTCTGAAGAAAGGAATTGAAATATTTATTCCATTTATCTCCAGATTTTCATAAGTCTCATCTCAAGATCTATGGGCCCTGCCTTTAAGATGGGTAGGATCCTGAGTTTAGACTTGACCCTTCCCTCTCATCTCCTCTTTCCTTATTCTCAAGGTCTAGAATGTCTGAGTTTCCACTCTGAGGCTCTCCTTTCCAAGGGGAAGTTGTAGCCCGGGGGCCCCAGGGAATGGTTGGGGTGATGGCTAGAATGGGTAGGGGAAGTAGAGCTTTTAAGGAAGCTGGGAGGGGTAATGAAAGTCCTTGAGACAGTTGCTGAGGAAAGGCTGACGGTGCATCATGATCTCTCTCAGAAGATGTGGGCCAGCGGGTGTGACTCCTCAGAGAACCGTGTCAGCGCAATCACAGCCAGGCCCAACGGCACCGATGACATCTGTGACGCCCACATTGTTCCTACATTCAACAAAGAACTTTGTGCGGCAGCCACTGTGTACCAGCGTCACCGGACGGCTAGGAATGCTGTGGATGAACATCCCTCCCTTGTGGAGGCCTCTACCCAGAGTGGACATCTTTACAGAATGAATAATGAAGGTGTTAACTTTAGGAATCAGCATGCACCCAGCATAAGCACAAAGTGGACACCTTTCTTCAAGTGTTCCCATGACACATTGTGAAGGGGCAAATGTGTAGATCAGGGAACAGACCAGTCTTGAAGTGGACAGGAAAAGGTAAGATCAAATGATTCTTCAACCAAGAAGGAATCCCTCTGCTTCAGGGTCTTCTGGCTGGCAGCTGTTGATCCTGTGAGAATCTTTGTTGGCA